CCCCTTCCGAACATACCAACAAGTTCCATAGCATAACACGGACCTACTCGAGGCCTCAAATCATATCAAACAATATCAAAACGATGAATTGCACCTCAAATCAAAATCTATGAACTTTGAACTTTCAAATTCTATATCTTGTGCCTAAACATATCAAATCAATCTAGAATGACTTCAAATTTAGCACACAGGTCATAAATGACATAACGAAGCTATTCAAATTTTCAGAATAATATTTCGACCCCGATATCAAAAAGTCAACCCCCGGTCAAACTTCCCAAAAATTCAACTTTCGAAATTTCAAGCTTAATTCCACTACACACCTCCAAATAATTTTTTCGTCATGCTCCTAAGTCCAAAATCATCATACAAAGCTATTGATATCATAAAAATTTCATTCCGGAGTCGTTTTTCTCAAAAGTCAACTCTCTGGTCAACTCTTTCCATTTAAGCTTCAAATTAAGGATTGTTCGTTTAACTAAATTCCGAATCTTTAGTAAATCAAACTCGACCACACCCGCAGGTCATAATACATATTGCGAAGCTGTCCGAGACCTTAAGTCATTGAACGGGGCATAAATTCTTAAAACGACAAGTCGGGTCGTTACATTTCGGTATCGATTCGGAGTCGGATTTGAGTGAAACTAGTATGGTTGGACTCGTAATTGAATGGGTTGTCGAATTTTATAACTTTCGCTAGATTCTGAGATGTGGGCTCCACTGACGAATTTTTAATTAATTTTGGGATTTTATTGAAAAATATAGTATTGTTTTATAGAATTGATTTCTATAAATTTTAGTGATTGTATCAAATTATTTTTGGTTAGATTCGAACCAATCGAAGTTGGATAATCGAGGAAAAGGCCTACTAGTGGATTAAATTGGAGCAAGACGAGGTAAGTCTCTTGTCTAATCTTGTGAGGGGAAAATTATCCCATAAGGAATTGAATTAATAATTGTTGCTAATTCTGGGGGCTACGTACGCACGAGGTGACGAGAGTCAGTGCGTAGCTACTATTAATGCTAAAGTTCGGGTAGTTTAGGACACAAAGCATAAATTATTTGTTCAAATTGTATTCTTTATTTAATATATATATANTTGATACTTACTGGGTACACGTTGTTTACGTACTCATACTACACTTGTTGTACTTTTTGTGCAGGACCTGAGGCAAGTACTAGTGGAGGACCTATCGTCTTACACCCACGTTATCCAGGGACATAGTGGTGAGCTATCTTTCTGAGCCGTTCTACAGCTACCAATGTCTCTCCTTGTATTTTTCATTCTGTCTATTTTTATTTCAGACAGTATTTGAGATTTTGTATAATCTACTAGATGCTCATACACTTGTGACACCAGGTCTTGGCACATACATTGGTAGAATTTGGAGTTTTATTATTTTCTTGGATTTAAATTTTATTGATATACGTTTATTTTATTAGTTGGCTTGCCTAGCTATAGTGTTGAGCGCCATCACGACCTATATGTGAAATTGGGTCGTGACAATAAGATTTACATATAGTATAGTATAGTATAGTATATATATATACACACTAAGTGTATAGTATAGAAGCTATATAAGATGTACATATAGTATATATACATCTTATATCTTATATAGCTTATATATATATACTATACTATATTCGATATATATAGTATAATATATATACTAAGTGTATAGTATATAAGCTATATAAGATATACATATAGTATAGTATAGTATAGTGTATATATATATATATATATATATTCAATTTTAAATATTGAATATTAAAATTTAGGATCTTAAATCAATTAAATATTATGTATATATTATGTAAATATTAAATATTATGTATATATATATATATCAATTAAGTATTAAATATTATTTATTTAAAAGCTATTTATATAAAGGTTGAAAAAATTCGACCGACTTCGGTCAGTAATATTATTAAATTTATATTTTAATTATTTTAAAATATTTTTTCGACCGAACTCTGTCGAAAATATTTAATTATAACTTATTCCGATTGGTAAATTAAATATATATATAATTTTTGTTATATTAAAAACCAATTACCTTGGGCGGGAAATCATAATTTCAAATATTCTGATCGAATTCGGTCGGAAATTTTGAAAACTTTTAATAAAAACTTATTTTTGTAGATTATATACAAGTATGACCAAGTCTTGGTCAAATATTGACCAATTTCTGACCGAAATCGATTGAAATTTTTATTTTTTGGTGTGGGACCACTATTTCCATTGTTAGAAATATTGTTTTTGACTTTTGCGACCAATTTACTTAATTTTCGACCGAATTCGGTCGGTTTATTTTCCGACCAACTTCGGTCGGTATGCTTTGGATGAAATATGCCAGTTTTTTAGTAGTGTGAATCTCCTTCAATTAATTCTAAAAATTCAAGAATAATTCAGATAGCTAGCTAGAAGGTTTCAAGCTACTTCAGATGAGTAATTTAATTCCAACTAGTACATAATTACTATTTAGATGGGAAGTGTATGCATATGGATTAGTTCTAGGCCTAAGATCTCTTAATATTTCATGCAAAGGCCTAGCTTAATTTTTTGGCACCTCACTTTCGGCTTAATTATATTGGACTTTTGGGCTATCCCAGTCTCATTGACTCCTTTGCAATCTTATACTACTAGAGAGTAAAATTCAAAAAAAGCCAGATTTACAAATGATAATTGAAAAAAAGTCACAGTTTTAAAAGTAATCGAAATTTAGCCACTTTTTATGTAAAGATAAATACGAACGAAAGCACTGTTTAAAATCCGAAAAATATTTTAGCATAATATACTGGAGTTCGAATTTTTTACATGTGAACTTCCAGCATAATATACTGGTCCAGCATAATATGTTGGAAATTCATACACAGGTACTCCAATCTCCAGTATATTATATTGTAACTTTCCATGTGCTGGAGTTCCAGCATAATATGCTGGAAGTTCATACACAGGTGCACCAATCTCCAGTATATTATATTGTAACTTTCCATGTGCTGGAGTTCCAGCATAATATGCTGGAAGTTCATACACAGGTGCACCAATCTCCAGTATATTATGCTGGAACTTTCCGTGTTGCAGCAAAATATTGACTATTTTTTAATGACTTTGCAATTGATGGCTATTTTTCAATTACCAGTCCGAAAACTGGCTAGCTCGTGCTATTTTTACTATACTAGATCCTCTCTCTTGAGTGGAAATGACACCAAATAACTACTCTAAAGGACTGTTATTTAGTAGTTAGCCAGTGTGTCATGAATTTCAATTTTTTAGTTTAATTTTTTAGGATAAAAATGTCTTGAATTGTCCTGAAGTTAAGATTTTTAGTTTAAAATTTTAGGACAAATTAAATACTAGCTAATCTTTAAATAACCTCTCTGAGAATGGCTATCATTGCAGTTGCCCCCTTCCACCAAATATTCTAACTATATCCACGTTAAAGAGTAGAGAAATTTTCAGAAACCACTATGTTTTAGTGATTATTAGCTTGCTATAGCTACCATTTACTAAATTACTTCCTATAGCTATATTTTCAGTTGTTATAGACTGTATTCGATGTATTTTTGCTACTATATTCATGAATACAGTAGCAAAACTCGGCGAAAAACAGGGGAGTCCAGCTAAGCAGAGAATGTATTTGACTGTATTTGCGAGCTATATTCGTGAATGCAGTAACGAAATTTGCAAAAAAAAAAAAAGGTCTTCAGCTGTTTAAAAACGGTAAGTGAATCAATTAACGCGATAGACTCCTAATATAACTCAACAAACTCAATTATAAACACACAAAATTTGTAATTCCAGTTATAGAAAAGATTCTTAACCGAAAAACACCCCAAAAACAGAGCAATCTTCAGAGATTCAATCCATCATTTTTTTTTAGTGGTATCTTTACTAAAATATTTTTTAGTGGTATCTTTACAAATAGATTTATATATTGAAATTATATAATTACATTGAGTACAGTTAAATACATAAAAATACATTGAATACATGAAGTAAAACAGGTCACCTATAGTGCAAAAATATTTGAATACATACTGCAGATACATTTGAATACATATATACATCTGAATACATAAATTATATTAATTAAAAAAATATATGAATACATTCATGGAATACAGCGAGACAGTGAATACAATGAAATTCATAGAATACAACGAGATACATTGAAATACAATTAAAAAAAAAGATAACAGACTCTTCAAGTTCCTCAGCCCCAAACTCCATCCCCAATCCACCGATATCAAGGTCGCCGCCATGTGGGGCGTCGCCGCCGGTACCGGCACCCTCTGAGTCGTCCAGGTAGTGAGTCTCTCATTTATGCTTTGAAAATTTTGAGATCTGCACTTTTGGGGCCTTTATCATCCTTGGAAGGATCAATGGCTTCCCTTATAACAAATCCTGCATTTGTACTTCCTGAGGGAATAAATGGCTTCGGTGGTATAAATTATACCAACGCTGCATCGCCAATGGGGCTTGATCTCGACAATGGTCTGTTAAGTCCTCCGCCAGTAATTTTCACAAGCTTGGCTAAAAAATTGAGAGAGATAATGGAGATGAATCAGTGGAGAATCGTTGATAGAGAGAATGGGGAAGAGAATAGCGCTGTGACAGAGAGAAATTGGAGAGAGAGAGATCCTGGAGAGAGAAGTTTACTTCCTATACGGTAATTTTGTGAGAGAAAAAAAAGAAAGGAGAGAAAAAAATAATACACAGCATATTTAATGGCTTAAAGATAAGAAGTGACCATAAATAGATATTTTGCTATAAAAATTAAAAGGTAGCTATAGGAGATAATTTTTTAAAAGGGTATTTATTTATAATAAATAAGGTATCAACCTTTGCTATAGGAGATAAAATTTCCTAAAGAGTATCAGTTGCTCCCGACTCGATAAGAGTTAACCACACAAAATTAAACTCATGAAATCATCTAATTATTCATCAATATCAGCTTTTCTTTCTCTTTCAGATTAAGCACAAAATATTCATAAACCACAGAGTAGTATATATTGATTCAAATACTCATAATTTTGTACAAACAAAGAGGTGCATAGCTTTAGATTTATATGACCATTACAATATTGTATAGGAGATGCGTACAAATATTAAAGCATTAATGGGGTATGGCCAGTAATGCTTGTGATTGTTTCTCATATTTGAAACCATTTGACTTAGAATCATCAGCACTCCACACAAATATTCCAGCCAACTCTCCTTTACTTTTCAGCTTACTACACGCTGTGAAAAATCCATTTTCTGGAGATAATCCCCCACTCCCATCAGTGCTGAAACTAGCCAAGATCTTTCCCCCTTCGTAATTGGATCTTTGTGTAGCAAAATAGTCCATGAATTGAGATACAGTGGTTCCCTCATCGTACGCGTAAAATTGGAAATTAACATAGTCTATAATGTGACCATAGCTTTTCCATAGCGCCTGATAATGACTTTGAACTTCATCGTTATCAAACGGAGCTATTGAAGCAAAGGAAATTACTCCATTATTTTTGAGTGTTGTAATAAGCCTACCTATGCACTCTGTAAATGTATCAGGATCAGCTTGAAAATGTTCATAGTCGATATCGATTCCATCTAAATTGTATTGCTTAATTATATCAGTAAGAGAAGAGACTGCATTTGAAACCCAAGAATCGACAGAAGAAGGGTTGAAATAGGCGCTGCTTCCTCCAACACTGTCTCCTCCTAAGCTCAATGCTACTTTAACATTCGAATGTTGGGTTTTAATGGATGAAACGGAAGAAGGGGTGAGATTATCTGTGTCCCAAAATATGTTGAATTGACCTTTCGTGGGAGACGCAGAAGAAGTGTAGTCAATGGCAAAGGAGAGAATGAAGTGAAATTCGACGCCAGAGTGAATAGGGACATCACTAAACTTGACATTCTTAAACTCAGCTCCAATGTATTCCCTGAATATGTTGGAATTTCCAGGTTCTGCCTGGATTGGTGATAGAAAAAGCACTAAGGCTTGAAAAGCAAAACTTGAAATTAAAAATTTGGAGAACTCCATGAATTGTTGAGATATTAGAAAATATGTAGTCTGATAGAATGGTCTGAAGCTATGCAGTTTAAATATAGGTTCCTTAGTAATTTTCTGGATAAATGTTAAAGTATGAGTCAAAAGATAAATTAAAGTCAATAAGGGTTGGCCTTACTTTTCCGTTTCTGCTAATTGAAAAAATTAGCAGAAGACGCACGCCGATGACTCCTAAAATTTGTTTGGACATGTATGCCAAAATTCTAGTTTTTCTGTGCCAATTTTTAATTTGGATGCAAGGGACCTGATAATCTAATCTAATGCATTACTTTCCTTAAAACAAGGAATCTTTCAATAACCCAATGATTTTTTGGTCTTTTTTTATTTTATAAATGCAGACATTTATATTAACTCTGCATTATTGCCCCACAAAAGGTTAGGTTAAACAAGACAAGAAGGGGGAAAAGGTGCTTCTTGAATAATATTTCTTGAGCATTGTGAGTTTCAAACTCTATATCATTTCTTATTTGAACTCCTTTGAAGTTTGATTGGCGAGATTTATTAAGTTCTTATTTTAGTTATTATTAATTCAAAAAGAAAAACTATTACATCACAACTTTTATATCGTAGTAGTATCGGTAGGATTCTCCTACATAATGTGGGGCAAAAATGAGCAGTGATCATAATATATATAACGTCCTTTTAAAGGGCGCTATACTTTAACGACCGTTTGCCCAGTTAAGTATAACGCCCTTTTAAAAAACGCTATATTTGAACGTCAAAAGATTAGGAAGGTATAGCGCCCTTTATTAAGACGTTATACTATAACGTCTTAATAAAGAGCGCTATACCTATATAAAAAATCGTCCCTTCCCTTTCCCCACCAACAGAAAACGATCCCCCATTAAAAAAACAAAACCAGCGGTCTCCCCTCCATTGATAACCAAAAAAAACTCGAGCGGAGCCCACCGATCCCACAAAAAAGTATAGATTTTCAGTCTCACATCCTAGCTAATACATTATCTCGTATTGGGTTGCTCGTTTCGGCTCCAAATCACCAAATCTTTAACTTTTCAAAAAATTTAAATCGAGGTATTCCGACTTAGTTTTTGTTAAAACTCGTATAAAAAATGCATATTAGTTATTTTTAATGTGCTCTATGTTATTTTGTGATTGTTTTGCTATTTAATTAATTTATTATGTTTTATCCGGGCTATAGTATTAGTGTGCTAAAAAAATTAGTAAAATAGAGAAATTGTTATTAGTTGTTAAAAAAAAGTTAATTAGTTACTTTTTACTGTGGTATATGTATTTTCGTGATTGTTTTGTGATTAAATTAATTTGTTATTTTTATCCGATTTAGGTTATTTATTTGCTAAAAGACTTGTAAAATAGATAAATCATTACTTTATTTCCCTATAGTGGTATCTTGTGGCCTAATGTAGTGCTCGTATTTGTAATGTAGTGCCCTTTTAGCGTAGTAAAATATAGTGCCCTTTAGCGTAGTATCCTTGTAGTTATTGAAATTAATCATTTAATTATCTGTTAAATCCAAAATACGACAAGAAAACTGATAGTTCAAACACAAACTCTCTCCAATTCTAGTCAACAAACGTAAAAAAATAACATGAGAAAATAACAATATTTGTCAAACTAAGTTTTGTTATATGAATATTTAATAATTAAATTTTGTATAGTTATGAAAATTAATTATTTAATTTTATTATAGTAAATAATAAGTGAGTAACAAACATATAAAATAATAAACTAACATATAAAATAATAAACTAACAGACCTGTTGAGTAATAAATCGGGAAAAGTTTCTCATGATGAACACAAGAATTCAGGATACCTTGGTGCTACTTAGCCTCAAATATCGAGTCTGGAACCAAAATGTGAATATTTAATAATTAAATACTGTATAGTTATAAAAATTAATTATTTAATTTTATTATAGTCAAAAATAGGTGAGTAACAAACAAACATATAAAGTAATAGAACTAACATATAAAATAATAAAACTAATATATTAAAGTAACATATAAAATTATAATATTGAAAATATATCAACCTAATTAACAAATTAATTATAATATCGAGTATAATTAATATTGTTCAATTTACAGTAGCCGTCATAGAGGTTCCGTCTTTGCATCCCGAACGTGCCTCGCTAGAGCTACTGTTGCTATAGGTCGATCATATATCTTCCTACATATGGGAGGGACAGTTATTGGCCCAGACATTCCGCGCCAGAAGAGTAGACGATATGTGGGACTTTCTTAGGGCCCACCATCTCCATCCCCGTATAGTTAGACACCTCTAGGATACAGGTTTTTATAGGATTGTTGAGATCGGTCGGATGCAGCTGGATTGGTTTCCATTTTTCCATTGGCGAGGCCACTATCACGCTGCAGGAAGTGGAAGTTCTGTATGGGCTGCCGGTTGATGGACATCATGTTGCTTTGCCGCATGCCATCAGAGAGTATACGGGTTTGCAATACCTGGAGATGTTGCAGCGGCTCACCGATTTCCAGCCAGTGGATAAGGCTGCATCGATTGGGGCTAGTCGGCTGCAGTTGACGCCCATCCGACTGCATCTGGAGGCGATGCATGCTGACATCACGGATGATACACTGAATCTTCATATTAACTGGTACACGAGGTTGTTGCTGCTACTTATGTTTGGAGGGGTTTTGTTCCCGAACACTTCAGAAAACCTAGGCAGCTTGAGATTTCTTCATTATCTTGAGCGACTAGATGATTTATATGATTACAGCTGAGGTGCTGCTGTTCTCGGTTACTTGTACATGCAGATGTGCCGGGAGAGCACCCAGCGAGACATTGCCGGATTTTTACCGCTGAAAACATAGTCGAATACTATCTTCATTATAACATACCTAGTAAAAATATAACTTAATTTTTACGTCCACATTGTATATTAGGTTTGAGCCTGGTAGCGGTTCTTGCAGGTGTAGCCACCTCTACCACCCTTCTCTCCGGATAGACCACCTCCGTTTATCCCTTTATCTAGGAAGTGGGTTGATAGGCGAGGATATGGACGAGAGTACGAGGCTCGACATAATCTCCCCTATTACAGGGATTTGTTGGATTTAATGGAGGGCGCACAGGTAAATGTATACTTAATTTTACTTGGCCTGGCTTTATATATGTTGCGTATACTCACGGTTCCTGTTTTTACTTAATAGTTCATTTGGAGGCCATACAGTGACGAGCTAATAGCTGGTTTGCCCGATTATTGCTCAACCGACTGAATTATGTGGAGCTCTTTTGTCCTATTGATGTGTCTCGATATTGTCGAGCATCATGCCACCGAGCGAGTCCTTTGCCAGTTTGGCCTACTGCAGCTTGTACCTCCACCGCCCTCTTGGCATATGACACATTACCAGTGGGATGATCATTCCAGAGTGGACCAGACATATGTGGCATGACTAGAGGTACAGATCGATACTTGGGACCAGCGATATGACTTGATTCAGCCCCCCCAAAACCTGACCGGACGGATGGTAAGCATGACTATATAGGCTGGTACCGCAGCGTTAGCCGACTTTTCGTCGGGAATCCTGTTCATTGCACTGGCGGTCGGTATGTTCCATACGCCGGGAGGCACGAGGCACTGGTATGTAATTTGGTATACTTACTTATAACGTTAACCTAGCGTTTCGTAATTAATATTTTACATGTTGTGCAAGCTATTGGCCCACATCTGTTCTACCAGTTGGGACTGCAGATGCAGCAGTATACCGTCGAGGGAGCTGCTGCTTTACACGAGTATGGACGACAGGTTACAGATCTGGCTTCTCGGACATTGAGGCGAGCCCGAGATGATGAGCGCTTAGGATACGAAGCTGATTTTGTGGAGCCAGAGAAGTACCATCGTGGGCCAGCAGTGGAGCCGGAACATGGTCAACGTGGTAGGCATGCCCAGAGAGGTAGGGTGTCCCATAAGGTAGGGGTGTCCCACGATGTAGGGGTGTCCCACGAGGTCGTGGGGGTCGGCGAGGAGGTGGTACCTAGAAAGGGGGTGTTGAGGCACCTGTAGAGGATGTTGGAGTTGATAAACCGGGTGACCACCATGAGCTAGACCATGCTCCTAGTGGTATGTCGTCATTCGACTTTCAGCTTACTCCAAGGACTTCGCAGGTGACCCCGTCAGCTCCATTGTTGATCGCGGGCATGACCATTATGCGACAGGAGTTGGATCAGTGTTTTCCTGGTCCTCCAGATCCATCGACGGTTGCTGATGATCATCCGACCCGAGATGTGGATAGTGGGCGCTGACTGAGTTATGGCTCATCATCGAGGGATGTTGAGGATCTTTCACAGGTGCAATTATTTATATTACTATTATTTATATTTGTTTTTATCTCATTGATTAGTCATAAATATCTAAAGCCTTTTTTTAAGGCATCATCCTCGCCCGTCACCGAGGTCACTTTGTGCGATACTGACATGGCTGAGACGGATGATTATATTCAGGAGCGCGAAGAGACCATGGAAAGACAATTTAAATTTTTGTGACTTAACACGTACATTACTAATATATATTTCATATACTAAAATATCTTATTATTTTGTAGGTTACTGCTGGAACGACAACCCCTTCTACCGAGCCTGCCAGTCCTACTGACGATCATGCTGCAATGCATCCTGCGATAATGAGGCAACGTGATGAGGATGATCCTGATAGTGTAGCCGGGCGGGATGGGATGCGCCTCAGGCCAACGACCGCTTTAAAGCATACAGGATGTGGGACAACGTATTTTTATTGTTTACATTATATGCACATTATGTTTTTTTCTCGGGATTCTTCGTTATTTTAATACTATATTTCAAATACAAACATAACAACTTAACATAATTTAAATTCAATACAACTAATGAAAATACATGACATGGAAAACATAAAGATAAAATACTACACTCAACACATACATGTGTTTGTTTAGTGACTATCGCCCATTATTCTCTGCTTCAACCACTTAAATTCTATTTCAACCTATTTGTTTGTTCTTCCGCCTCTTTTAGTTTCTCCTGCACTGCCGCAATTT